CAATCCTCTCAGCTGAAACCAGGACAATGTCGTATTCTGATCGTTCTAAATGTGCTTTAGTATCATACCAAATATAATGAATACAACTTGGAGAGTAGCTTATCATTTTCTGAAGTGCAGTATGCTTTGGAATGAAATGTGAGGAAAGTCCCACATTTTCTTTTGTATGTGTAACTTAGAGAGGCAGAGCAATATCAAATTAATATCATGTTCTTGTGAAGTCCATTAATGACCATACCTCGTTAAAAAAAAGCAGAAGAAAACCCCCTCCTGTTGTTTTGACATCTTATTCAAGAAGTTACATCTCCAGGAAAGCACTGTTTTCTTGGCCTGTGTGAGATATTGGTACCATCTGTTGTGTGACTGACATAATTTCCAGAAACATCTTCAGGAGATATTTTTTGCCATCTAACTACTGACCCTGCTCACAGTGTCAGTTTAACAGGTTCAGATCATGAAAACATCGTCCTTTCCTTCCATGTCAGAGAGCTTAGAGAGTCTAGAATAATATTTTGCTGTGTTCTAGGTTTTCAACATAGATCAGTGCTTTAGGTTAGACTCTAAAAATATGAATTAGTTTCTATTAATTAGCATGCTTTGAAAGTTAGTGGTGGTAAACACCAATTAGTGAATCTCATTTAATGCCTGGGTTTCCTGCTAGGCTGTATCTTTATGCTGTGTGCCAAAGTCTATGCTAACTGCTCCGCAATGCAGCTTGAGTGGCCTGGTACACACAAGCTAGGGCAACTTTAATTGCAGGAGAAACACTTTGTGAATAGGGGATTCTGCCCTCTGCTGTAAATAACAGCCACTCAATAAAAGAAAGCAATGGCACAGATAGATGTCAGATTAGCTGCAATTTGTCTAGCCCTGGTGACTGTGTTAAAGAAGATGTCACCATATCAATGACTAACACCCAAAACATAAGCCCTCTCCTGACCTGGGTGTGTTGCTGGGAATGATGTAATATTTACACTTGTATTAGTACCTGTATTAGCAAGATTACAGCAAGAAAAAGTATAATCAGCATGAATTACAATCTCATCTTTACCTCACTGCATAGAGGTCTGCCATGAGCAAAAATTTTGGATGATAGGGCAGCGTCTTACAGCCTATATTTTTTTCCCCAGCTGGAGATCAAGGAGACCACAAGAACATCCATATGTGGGTCTTCCTTTTGGGATGTAGATCTTGCACTAGGGAAAACTTTTCAGTTTCTGGATAGGGAAGGTAGGTTGCCAATTTGAAATGTGACCAGCTTCTGTGGGAAGAAAAACAGGAAGAAAATGAAGAAGCATAACAACTCTTCTGGCCTACAGTGTCTTTCTTATAGAATTTATTGAATTGGCTGGAAAACTGAAAAAATACCCTTCATTACTGAGGTTTGTTAAGTTAAACCAAGAACATAATGTTGAAAAAAGAGAATCTAGTTTCTCTTTCTTAGAAGATAATTGTTGTCAAAAAACAAGCAAGGAAATCATTCAATACTGTATCTAGCCTCTCTTTCCAACCCACACACACACTCCTTAATTGCTACAGAGTAATTCTTTTCTTTTGCAGATGAATTATAGTAAACAGTTTAAATTGAATCTACTCGTTAAGAAAGAGTTGTGTGGTTTTTTGTTTTTTTTTTCTTTCAGAGGTTTTTTGTCCTGGATAATGGAATGTTGAAATATTCAAAGTCACCAATTGATGTAAGTAAAATTGAAGACCATTTTAAAATTTGTATTGGAATTCAGCCTGCTGGCCTGATTAAATCTTATACTCGCTCTAGACATATTTATGACAGCGCACACGTGAAAGTTATTGGTGGATTCAGAGAGAGATCTGTATGTGGAAAGCATGTAAGGTTTTGGTTGAGTGCTGTCCTAAAGAGTTCTGCCTTTCCTTACTTCTGTGAAAATAAAAACTATGTTACTTAAAGTAGTTTATTTAAGGAAGGTGCTTGAGGGATTACTCTGACCATGTATTTTTCTATTTTAATTTTTATGTCAGTCAGAGCTGATTATTCTGAGATATGTGGATAGGACAGAGAAGTGATTTACAATGCACTCAAGAGATATAAAGGGTAGCATTAAATTAGTTAGATCTGATACCAATAACTATCGAGCGGTAGCAGCAGGGAGCTGAGTACTGTCTAATTTTCTCTGCTTCTCACTTACCTGTAGCTGTGTACTGGTGTGAACCAACACACTTTAACTTTGGAATTGCCTCTGCAGTGAGCACTTGTTGTGAGATATTTTTCTCTGTCTATAAATATAGTAAGTGGTTATTCTGACTACAGGTTTTATTTTTTAATATAGGTTTATATTAAAATGTTTGTAAAATGGGAAACCATTTCAGCACCAGATATTTTTCTGTTAAATATAGTGAAGAAGTGCATGATACTACCAATTTCTTACCCTGCTTTTTATTTTAGATACAGAAAGGCAAAGTCCATGGGAGCATTGATGTTGGTTTATCAGTTATGTCGATAAAAAAGAAGGCTCGTAGAATAGATCTTGACACAGAAGAACACATCTATCATCTGAAGGTGAAAAGTGGTGCAAATACTTATTCTCTTTTCATCCACAGTGGAAATAAATAAAACTGTAAAATATGTGCAGAGAAGTAGTATTTTGAATGCTTTCTTGATAATGAATTTGTTTCCAGGTGAAGTCCCAGGATTCATTTGATGCATGGGTTTCAAAATTACGCCACCACCGGTTGTACCGTCAGAATGAGATTGTGAGATCTCCAAGAGATGCTAGCTTTCATATATTCCCTTCAGCCTCGACTACAGAGTCTTCACCAGCTGCTAATGTGTCAGATGGAAAGGTGTGTAGTGTTCTTTTGTTGAAAACTGATGCCTGCTGGGCTTAACGTGGGCGGTTTCAGTGGGCTTTGCTTGTAATGCCAACAGAGAGGAGTTTCCACTGTGGGAACCAATGGCCAGGAAAAAGCTGTGAATATGTGCAGCTGAAATACCATCTAATTTGGCCTTATGGCAGCCTTCATTAACAGTCTGTTGTTGACATCTTGCAAAGAATTCACCATCTCCAGAACAATTTGCACTTGCCTTTGTCATCAGGGATAAATCTGGGTTTTTTTACTGTTTGATAATGCTTTTCCTCTTAAACAACGGCTTTTCTAACTGGTGGTTAGCAAACACAGTTTGCTTGTGATGTTCTTGGTTTGGTTCTCCAACATGCTGTTCAGAAAAATCTATGTCTTGGGGAACTATATAGTCAAATCACAGGTGTCACAGAATCACTGAAATTTTTTGTTTTCTCATTCTGAAGTAGTATGGTGATTACACTGACTGAGCAACATAGCAACAGTTAAATTAAGCATTTTATTATGCCTTAGGTGCAACAAAATAGCTTCCCCTGGCAGCAGTCTCCAATACCTTGCAGTAACAGCCTTCCTGCTACTTGCACTACTGGTCAGAGTAAAGTAGCAGCCTGGCTGCAGGACTCTGAAGAGATGGACAGATGTGCAGAAGGTTAGTCTTTACCTTTTCATGCTGCCTTCTTTCAGCAAAACTTCTTGTTGATATAAAATAAGAAACAGTTAGAAAAGTGGTTAAGTTGCATCTTTACATGCACATGAAGTAGCTCTTCAGGTAATTAGATGCTTGTGGTGGGAACTTCCCTCTGCATGTTTTGACATGTTGCTTTTAAAATTTATCTTAATAATCTGTGTTACCTTAAAGGATGTAATTGTTAAAATATGATCAACTTTTGAGGTTCAGACTTGTTGCTGACTCCCATAGAAATAACAAGTGCTCAACATCTCTAAAAATAAAGCTTTTACTTAGATGCCTTACTACCAGGGATTTTGACATTTAACTTTTATAATGCAATAAAGTGCCAATGATGGACATCATAGAAGAAAAAAAAAGTTTGAACTGAAGCACCTAATGTATTTTTGTTTTATATCTGTTAGATCTTGCTCATTGTCAGTCAAACCTTGTGGAACTCAGTAAACTTCTTCAAAATTTAGAAATACTACAGAGAACTCAGTCAGCACCAAATTTCACAGACATGCAGGTAAATATGCTTGAACATAAATAATCACACTGAAACATTTGTTCTTTGTGTTAAAGGAAATACAGAGATATTGGCTGTTAACTCAGAATGATTTTCTGAAATCATAGTAACTCTTGGATGAAAGGTTTATCTTATGTGTTTATCTTAATCATGTACAATAATATTTCAAGTGTAAACAAATAATTAAGGTATCTTAATTATTTGAGTTAAATGGGATGAATCAAGTGATTCCAATGATCAAATGATTGCAAAGCAAAACTGAGAACTGTTACGATAGAAATACATGTATACATTGAAATTGTATTTAAGGAGTTTTTATTGTGCTGAGTAAGATATGATCTTAAGTTTTTAAGGAGTGGAGACCCAAAGACCCTCAAAGATGAAGTTGCATGATTTAGAAAAGAGGGCATAATACAAAGGTCCCAAGGGTTGGACCATTTCCCAGGTCAGCATGAGTTTTCCTCTTGACCACAAGAAAGCAACAGCAGATCCCAAATCCTAAATATTTTCTTCCTTTTTCACTCAGTCCTCTTGAATACACAAATCTTGCAGTGGTATTGGTGTGTTGGGAAGTCTAGTTCCAACGAGGTAACGAGACTCACCACTGATTTCAGGAAGAGGTGAACTCTGTATTTTTCTGAGTAGCACCATAATAGAAATCCACAAGGATTTCAAGATTTGGTCCTAAATATTGTGCACTCATGAAGAAAGTATACCAGTAGTTTTGCTAAATGAGCTAAATGTACCATGTGTTTATAGAAGTGTATGGATAGCTACAGCTGGTCACTGCTGTAGTTGTGGGTCCTGGCAGTGGCATTCTTCTCCTTTCTAATTTGTAGATGTCTAATGCTACAACTTTTTACTAACTTGCTGTACTGTCTGTGTTGCTTGTGTCAACTTAATAGTACTTTGTCGCTTTTAACTATTTGTGTAATGTAGGCTAACTGTGTAGATATTTCAAAGAAAGACAAGCGGGTCACGAGACGATGGAGAACAAAAAGTGTCAGCAAAGATGCAAAAATTCAACTTCAGGTACTGAATGTACAATGTTTTACTTTTCACTGTACTTTTAGATTAACTTTTAAGCATGAAATGATATACTAGCTGAAAGTAGGAAGTCAATGTACTGTGTCTTATGTTCCTGATGAAGTAAATTAAGTCTCGTTTGTTGTTTAAAACCTGGAGAATATAGTGAGAAAAGTATTGATTTTACTTTCATTCATATGAAAACATTGCCATCTAGGGAAAGGAGTGGGATCTGAATACTAGTCAATTAAGGTGCAAAAGAAGTAACATGCATGCAGCACACAGGGATACTGATGTTCTATCTCAAATTTGCCAAGAAGGGCAGGTGAGCAGGCGACATCAAGCTAAAAGCAGAAAACATGAATGAAATACTAAACCCACCAGTTGTCTTTGTGAAGACCTATACTAGGAATGTTACCAATAAGAAGTATTTTCACAAGCCTTCTGTTATGGAAAAGGCTAGTATGGGAACAAACTGAATAAACCAAAGAATAAATTATGTGATAAAAGAATTTACCCCATCCTGCCTTAGAGTTGAAAAGTAAAAGCACAGAAATAAGCATAATATGCTTGTCTTACTGCTAGATCTAGGGTGTCTTACTGTGCTTTGTCAGTAGTTGTGTGTTTTGAGGCCTAATCCAAAATCTAATCTTTCTTATAATTGATAATGAAGACTATATTCAACTGACTTCAGGAGCTAACAATCATCACTGTGCTGTCTGCTACAGAATAAATGTCAACAACTTTTGATCCATTTAAATTCCTTGAAATTCATGCAAACTTGGAAAGCCTTTAATATGTCCCCTAGAGGTACAATAAGGAATTTTCTGTGACTCAGAGGCACAGTAAGAACTCTCTGTGACTCATTTAAAGTTAATAATCTTAAGGAAAGAAGAAACTGTAGTTGCATCAGCTTTCTCATTGCAGCTGCTATAGGTGATTTTTCTTTCTACCTGTTATACTAGATAAATCACAATAGGTTGAACAATGAAGCATCTGTTAGGATTAAAAAGGTTTATTAACAGAGGAATTTTGGTGATTGATGTCTTGTCCTATTACCTGCATTTGAAGGATCACTGTGTTTCCCTGCTGCCGAATAACATAGGCAAATAAAAATATCAGGAAAATGGATGCAGGTACTTGGTGCCTACGAAGATGCAGGGTCAACACTGCGTGTTCTTCTTTCATGCCACAGTGATCTCAGAGAAATTCCTCTCCACAAAAATTATGAAAAAATGATGTAAGCAGTCAATGTATGATCTAGAGTGGGTCATGAGGAATTACAAGCTGCTCCTGTGTTGCCTGCACTTTGCCAAAGTGACACTGGTCAGGGCTTCTGTCATTTTGACACCGGACTATCAAACTGCTGTTTGTGGCTTGAGCTGAGGCACAGCTCCTGAAATTCTCAAATACAGTTGGTTTGCAGGTTTCCCTGAGAAAGTTTGTGTGCATAGCACTGCTTTACATGTCACTTCTGGGTTGATAATGAACTCTGCCTAACCTGGGTCAGCATTAACTCCTGGCAAGCTTCATGCTGGAAATGTAAAGCTTATTTTGTTAGAACAAAGCGTGAAGTTATTGATGGTGGATCTATAAATTGATTTGCAGTGAAACAGAAACAATAAAATTATTCTAAATTATACGGAAGATGAAGACTCCTTTTTGGCTGCTCCGTTATCTTTCCTGGTTTGATGGGCTCAGCACATTGTTTATTCTTCCAAGGGCTGTCCCATGAATGGTCTAAAGCTGTGATCTGTGGAAGATGGCCTCACTGTGACTCATTGTGTTATTCCTAATTTGCTCATGTTGCCATGCCACTAAAATGTGGATTTCCTCCCATGCATAGGTGCTTTTTAAGCTTACAGTCTCATTTTGTTCTTCTGTTAGCCATTTCTTCTAGCTTCACTGGCCTTCCTTATAGGTCATTTTTTTCAAGACTACTCCCACTCTTTATAAACTGTTTATCAGGGCATCCACTAATGAGAATCACTTTGTCTAATTTGTGATTGTTTCTTCATGGTGTTGACACACGGTTTGCTATTAAATGGTTGACATTTGGTACTAAGGAAACTTCTGTTGTCCTTTTCCCCATGTCTCCATACATCTCATTAGGTTTAGGGGATAATGCTAATACTAACACACGAACTTTAAGCTAGTTGCACTATTAATTCCGTTTGAAGTACTTGCACCTATTTATTTTAGAATGAGCAGTTGTTAAATACCATCAAAAGACCTTCTGATAGTATGATGTTGAGAGCCATCCTTCCCATAGAAATTAGGGAGCTTTGTGTATAGGTGTCTTGTTCATGAGTAATGAGGGACAAGGATGTAATTTTTGCTAGCTCAGGATCCACTGTGTAAGATGCAAGGAGAGAATTCTCCCATCAAGATTTAGTATTGTACTTGTTACCAGTTTTTTGTTAATAAGATAGCTTTTGTTGTATTCCTGCTAACACATTCTGGAATATGAATGCTAGGTGAATAATGTGTTTAAAATGTACTTTTTCTCGTAAGAAAAGCTGCTTGCTTTGTTTCTTAGAAATATATATTTACCAATTAGGTATACCAGTTCTGTATGCAGTTAACTTTGCTCACACTTCTAATCCCAGTAACTGGAGTGGGATTACTTCCTGAAGTAAAATTGAGTGTAGCATGTGTGTATATGTTTGCAGGATTGGGGGTTTAGTATTGCTAAATTGTTTAGAATTAACAGCTTGATTTACAGGCCTTTACTCAAGAGTAAAACATGGACTGCTTCTGTGAAGAAAGATTGCTTTTATGAAGGAGGTTTATTTTGTTTTTTAAAAGCCTATTTAAAGTCTTATGAAAATGGCCTGCAACAACAGGTTAGTTGACCTGTTTTCATTCATTTCACAAATGACGCTTTTGTACAAAGACAGAGGTATGTGTGGGTTTTTTGTGGGTTCCCCCCTGTTTTAGGTAAAAGACCAATTTGTCATTCTCATGACAATCTAAAGATCTTCAAAAGAAGAAAAAAAATATTACTGAAAAGCAATAAAATGAACTAACGTTGATTTGATTTCCCTCAAAAGCTCAGAGTTTTGAAGTTCAAAGACTGATTTTTTTTTCCTTTATTTTTTTTCAAGGGGTGTAGTTTAATAGAGAACTATATTGTATGGAGCAATCTGAAAAGTCAGCTTGCTCTACTGAGGCTTTCAGCTCAGAAATTAAATCAGACCCAAATACTGGCTTATTACCTTTTCCCTTAAATAAATATTTTTTTATGTTGTAACCCAGATTATCACCTCACTTTCTATTGTGTTGAGGGGACTGTGTGTTTCTGCAGAGCTTGTTGTTCCCATTTTAATAATGTGCATCTTCATTCATAATTTTGCAGATATATATACATTTGCACATGTGTTTCTCTCTGTACATATATAAATTTATATATGTCCTTATTAGTTAAACCAGAATTTTCTTCCAAATTCTGATTCACAGGATAGACATACTTCTGTATAGCAGAAAGAGCTTTACATTATGCATATGATACATTCTCTGCTTTTACAAAGTTTATACTCTAGAGGTTATGTATATGTGTTTTTAATGTGAGAATTTTACAAAATATTGCAAAGCAAGTCTTCCCTTACTGTGATCATTAGACAACTGTTCCATTGTCAGTAGCACTGCCACTAGTATCAGCCAGAGGGTGGTGGAGTGTATGGCCATTCTCAGACACAGCAACACTACC